GTAGTTTTAATCATTTTTGGGATAAAGAATTACCTATACAAAAAATTATATAAATCGATTCAGTTAACGATTCTGAACAAACTATTTTCAGGATGTGATTTATTTAACATGTTGTATTTTTTTATATAATAAAATAGGAATAATTAATAAAAATTACCTATAAATATGATCTCATTTTGTGAAATATTCAAAAAGACGTTTAAGACTGATATAGTTAAATACCTATTTAAATAACCAGTATGCTGAGTGTGAGTTGTTTTACGCTAACGCGATTGAAGCGTTTATGACGTTACGCGCTCCGATTGGCCCGCTCCAAGCTTTATCCAATCAGAGAGCCGAACTCGCTTAACGTCTCGATCACGTTGACGTAAAAGCAATTCGCAGTCAGCACGCAGTATCCAAATCCATTGCTTAATTATTATGTTAAAAAATTTGTTTGCTCAACAACGTAACGCAGTGAACGTTGTCTTGCTGCCGAAATTATTAGTTGTGAACAGGGTGCGGCGCTCTGATTGGCGCTCTGATTGGCCGGCTCAAGTGAACCAACCAATCAGAACGCTAACTCGCTCGATACGGTTACGATACGAATGCGATAGTTATTCGTACTTGGCACTCTGACTGATTAGTTGTGTTACGTAATTAGGGTGTTGTTGATCGTAGTGTTTTATCATTTAATTTAAAATTAAGTTACCCTATTGTACTTATATATAAATATAATAATATGTAAAAGATAAAACTGATTAAATAATTGATATAATGTAAAGCGTTTAATTTTTATTTTTCAATTATCTGAAAAAATTTCAAATTATACGTAAGAAAAAAAATTGTGCAGATGAATAGATAATAGAATTTAAAATAAAACGTTGCTGTTATCTCTTTCATTCATTTTTATTGGTCACATTTACATAAGTACAAAATGATCCACATTTGGTATATTTAGCATGTTCGTTCAGGCACATTAGAGGTAGACTTTAATATTTTATATATTTGATTTCTCACGGTGTTGATGTTTCAAAGCATCTATACACTTTAAAATATTGGTGTATGGTTCAGAGCGCATACATGGTGGCAAAAATTGTAATTCACCTATTAACAAATTTCCAAAATAATAGTTTCGTTGATCGAGGTCCTTATCAAATATACACCAAACACATTTGGAGTAGGTTCTTCTACTGGTTTAGAATCTTCGCCTGATTTCGTTGGGTCACTATCGGAACTCTTTTTTACATCCTCTTTCATAATTTGGGTGTTTGTGTTATACTTACGTGTTAGATGCCTTGTTTATACGGTGTTTAGGTGCAAGCTATATGTGTTTATCTTCATCATCACAATATTCCTATCTTCGTTTCCGTGATTCACCTGTAACAAAGTAAAATGCAGATTTATTTAATGTGAAACCGATGTTGTGGTCAAAATGTAAATCCAAGATGGCCATCTTGGATTTACTGCACGAAATTTATAGTTTGTCGTCATAGGTGTCGCTTGCATAGTTTTCCAGGTTGGTAAAACTGACGGTGCTGTCCAAGTGCGTGGTGTGTAAATCCAAGATTTGCCATCATCTCGGATCCAAGGATTAAAAATTTTGTGCAGGCGCCATCTATGATTTACATTTTGATCACAACACTAGTTTCAGCGCCCTCGAAAACCACGAACACAACACCCATGACGATAAAATAAAAGTTTGGTGCAGCGGTGGATTTTGTCTCAGCCGTATTCATTTCGGCTAGTCGTCCAACTGTGATTTTCAACGATGCCACCCTGCTTACCGTTAAGAGCGCAGTGGTGAATGGGCCGCTAGATCGTATTAATCACTTTAGTTAACTTGAGCCTGCTATTATTTATAATATCTGGATAAAGTGATTAATTTGTGCTAAGCAATTTCGTTAGTATGTATAATGACCGGTCATTATGAAGAATATCTAATTTATCACTTTGGCTGTAACATATCCACAACACACGTAGATGATCTAAGGACCATTTTTCATTTTGAAGGTTTCAACAAGTATTTTTGCGTAAACACATACATGTCACTACCGCCATAAGTATATATTAACACCATACGTGAAAATTTTAAATTTAAACGAAAATTTAAGTTTCGTGGCCTACCCTGAAACTGGAACATTTACCTTAAGAAGTCGATGTTGTACCGAGACATAACATGCTGTTATTTTATTTAAAACAGTTTGGAGAATATTCTGGTATTACGACATAAATAGGTAGGTAAGTAAAGTGTCGACCTAGTAGGTACTGACCTAGTGAGGAGAGGACTAAACAAATACCTACACCTAACTACATGTGTTTTATACGTTATTATGATAAGCACATAATCACTTAAAATATGTAGGTATGTTGTAAAAATTGCAAATAGAAATCGAAAAATTGTTAAAAAATGGACTACAGTACATACCTACAGCTACTTCAAAATTATTACACGCCCCCACGTTGGACAGCTGTTCTCTTACCACTTGCACTATACCTACTCAGGTTATGTTATCGTATTTATTCTTAATGATTATTTACCTACTATCATTGCCATTTAACTCATCTTGAATCTCTGTAAAGACAGGCTGACTATATTCTTGGAATTGTACTTCATCATCAGTTACGCTAGCGTCACCTGAAACAATCAATAATTAAGTAATAATAATACAAAAACTCAATAAGTAGGTATAATACAAGAACACCATTTTGTATCACAGTAAATCACAGGATTCACTTAATTTTTAACTCAATGTAATAAAAATAATTACTTAACAAATATAAATTAAGTAGGTATACATATCATAATATTAACACTCAATTTAACTCAGTAGGTACTTTAAATAAAAATCACTTACCATATTAATTATTAGTCAGTCCACGCGCCACTTGTTGTGAAATTCGTTAATCGTAATAACTAAAAAAAAGTAGGTAAGGCGATAAGGCGTGCGCCACAAGGGTGCAAGGTTCCCCCCGCCTACTTGAGCTGCTCAAGTTTATTGGGTAACTCAGGGTAACACGAAAAAAGCTTTTCGCGAAGGTAACCTCTTCAAAGGCTTAAGTTATTGAAGGGGTTACCCCTTCTATGATATTAAGCCTTTGAAGAGGTTTGAAGGGGTTAACCCCTTCAATGACATAAGCCTTTGAAGAGGTTAACCCTTTCATTGGGTTTTAGGGATGTATCTCGAACAAAAGGTAACACTGCGATATGAGTTACCTCATGTACGGGTTACCCAGTCCAAAGGCTTAACTCTAAAGTGGGGTTGTCCGGTCCCTGGTTTAAACAAATGTTGGCGAGGCTTGGCCAAGGATTCGCCAACACACGCACAAACATTGGTGGCGTTGGTTTATAATTGATAATTTTGTCTAATTTGATATTATTTACTAGTTTAAAAGCTTAAAATATAACTTATACTTTATGTATTTATCAAAAGTAAGACACTCCAGCCGTTATACTGCTTTTTCGGTTGTTATTTTTGCAACTTGCAATTATGCACTGCGGCATAGTGAGACGTGAGTACGTTGGCCGTGTTTGGAGCATACTAAACAAAATAAGAGCTCACTTCTCAAGTGAGCTCTTATTTGTCGAGACGATTTTCTTGCGCTGACCCGATATCTAGTTGTTATTGTTGATCGAAGTTTCTTAGCGAAGAACATTTTAGTGTGCCTATTGGTATTTCGTGAGATTTTATACAGCGGAAAACTATATTACAAATACAACACCACTTGTTATATGTCATGTTCATCGTTATATATCTTCTACCCAATACACAAAAACCCCTTTTCACTAATTAAAACAGAAAAACCAAACTCAAAAAAGAAACAATAAGTAAAATTTCGCCAGCTAGGACCAAAATAGATTGATTGATAGTTCCGCTGTCGGTGCACTGCAGATATTTTGTTAGAAATAGTCGGAACTTTGAAAAGTAGGTGTGTTCTGTGTTGCTTCATCAGATTATATGTGCTGATGTTCGGGTCAAGGCGCTAGAGGATTTATGAGTTACCATTTTGTACTGTAATTATTACGCATGTCTACTGAAAAATATGTGGTAGTCTTCATATTTTTAAAGTGCATTTTTCGAGTTAACATTGATGGTTGACTTTAGTACGTGGAAGTTGTTGATCGATTTTACAGCCGAATACTAAAAATCTAAAAAAAAATAAGTTGTTCTTAAAGATTGTGCCCTCACTTTCATTTTACAACGATTTTTTAGAGACAGAACTATAACTTGAGCGCGACTTCAAATTTGAGTGGCGATGTTAGTTCGTAGTTCCCTATTACCTGTTTTGGTTCCGAATATTGTAAATATTTAAGAAGAATGAATTTAAGTCTTTTTATCTAGCACCGCATAAATTATACAAAATTATGTCTTATCCCGTGGCATTACGACATCGGGTGCAATAGACGCTATACCATGTTCATTAAGTCAGTATTCAAACATGCTGTTAGTTTATTTATATCTATAACTCTAATTTATCATCATGTTGCGTACACATAAACTAAGGTATTTAGTCATAATGATTAATTAATAATAACATGCACGAATCATTGCTAAGAAAACGGACCAGTGTGTTGTAGTTATAAAAAGACTACTATTAGTATTTTGATAAAAACAATGTCATAGAAGATTCACAAACCAATTAGGAGATAACATTTGGCCGAATTAAGAACCTCCTTTTTTGAAGTCGATTAAGAGATCTCACCCCAAAATATTTAGATTGAAATCGATCCAAAGATTTTGTATTTTTTTAAGGGGCGATAATCATCGTTTGACTTCTTCTGCCTGGGTGAGGCGGAGGGAGTGACAGACTCTTACTGACTAAAAACCACTCCGTTCCTACTTTTGCACTTCAAAGATTTTGTATTAAGGGCGTTATTTACATAGGCAGTTAGTTTAACTTTGTATAACAACAACACACAAACGAAATCTATTATAATCACATCAAACCTTGTTAATAAATCAAATTATATAAATTCCAGTGCGTATGTTAGTGAATGTTGTGCATATATGACAATGTACCTGTAGGTTTGTTGATGGGCTAATTTACTCTTATCGTCGCCATTCGACATGTTCCCATCAGGTGAAATACGGACGCTGAAAGGGACAACACCGGGGTTAATAAAAAAAGGCGGAGTTGCAACGATATCTGTAAAGACTGTTCGAAATTAAATGTGTTTCTTTTATATTTAATGCCTTTACTCTGATTGGACGATTACAATTTAAATCTAAAGTTGCCACTAAAGGCGCTAGTATCAAACTAAAACTCAAAAGCATTTATTTTAATTAAACCATCCACCACCAAATATAAAATAAATAATAGTCTGTCAGTCTGTCCGTCAGTGACTCGAGTGGAGAAGAACGAGCAAGAAACTACATTCGGCAAACTGTAGATTTATGGTGCTCATAGGTCCAGAAAGCATTTAAAATAATCCAATCGTTGAAGCTAGTTTCTAAATTCGTGGGATATTAAAATAATAAAATATTTATAAGTTATTAAACAGACAGTGAGTGTATTTTTTAGATTTATTTATTTATTTTATCAACGACACATACAAGCTTCATAGTAAGTTACTCGGTCGAGTTAAACTGTCAAACACCAAGCGGTCACCGGTGACCGCAACCTATTGTTCTATAATTGTGTCTATAATGACGGTACTCGACGAGTTAAAATATTATTAAAACAAATATAAACGTATCTCAAGAAAATGAGACATTGGTGTTAATAGCAAAGGTAACTATTTTTTCAGAAAATTGAAATTACTGAAACACAATTTATTTTGAACAGTATACTTTGATATCGTTGCGGAAACATGAGACAGAGGGGAGGGTGATATAATGGCTGTGAAATTAAAGAAAATAAGTTTTAAATTTTATATTACCTCTGTTTCGGCCAATGCGAAAAAATAAAAATAAATATATAAGCAGCTATTAAAATCTACATAATAGAAAAATATTTATTAACCACCCAGAATAAATAAAACCTCACAAATGTTTTCTACAAATGTGGAAGCGAGCTAAGCAGGTTCCAATTAACATTTAGAAATATCTTTGTGGCTGAATATTCTGCTTAGGTCACATCCAATTTAAATGGATTTTAAGTTAATTAAATACAACATCGTTTAAAAATAAATATTACACACACAAAATCTCAAACTCTAATTTAATTTTGTTATTATTTAAGCATTTTAACTAAAATCACAACCAATTTAAATAAACTTGGCTAATTTCCTTTAAGTTACCACCCAATAAGAACAATAGGCGTCAAGCACTCTGTTATCAGTCTGTATCTGATAATTAAAGTTAAAAATGTGTCATTTATCTTATCACTTAAAGAGAGAGAAAAATAAGCTTCGGATTATCACATAAAGACAAACTCAAGGCCTGTTTTACAATATCTGAATTTATCTGATTAACACCCGAATACTGAAAGCCTACTCAATTTTACGTTGGACTGAAATATCGTGACATCTCTGTTATTTTGAGCTTCTCGAAGAGATCTCGAAGAGAAGACTCAAGACCTCAAGCTCAAGACCGATCGAAATAGAGAACCTCTGTGGACGCCCTCTGCTACAACTAGGGGACATAGGACTATTATTCATGTCTGTTCATTCTGTCGGTGACAGAACTATGGTTAAGCGCGACTGAACTGAGTAACTGAGTAGCGTTTCAGTATTAAGGTGTTAATTAAACAATGTAATATATGCCTTTTGACCTACTCATTAAGATAGATAATCAAACATAAAACAAACCTTCAGAGTGAATAAAAGTATTTGACACCTACCATACCAAACGAAAAAAAAAATAATTATAAAAAGCTTTCTATTTGTAAACTTACCCGGATAGTAGAGGGGTGAGTGGGGCGAGGGGTGTCTCACTGGATAACGACTGTGCCCTGGAGAGGGCTGCACCTGGTGACAATGTGGAAGGTGTGCTGGGAGTTGAACGTCCACTGCCACCCCCTCCACCGGCCTCGCCGCCACCTATGGAAAAAACAGTAGGTATTAAATTTTTTTTTGTGGAATTCCTATTCCACAAAAAAAAATTCACTTGATGGTAAGCGATCAGCGTTGCCCATGGACACCCGTAACACCAGAGTCACAGGTTTTAATACGAAAAGTAATCAAAAATTACTATCGATAAATCCTCTTATTATAACAACATTATAGTCAGCTATAACCGTAAAAAAATTAAGTATACAAAAGTTACCAAACTGAAATGTCACGACAAACAATGAACTAACTGATCTTTAAAAAATAGTCTGAACGGTAATCTAACTAAGCAGGTTCAAGGTAATGTGGACTGCAATGCGCTTCACAATAGAAGCTGCAATGCAGTGAACGGCACATGTTTTTCAAACAATTTTTGTTACCGATGTCTTGATTTCTAAGCACAAAAGACTGAATGAAATGAATACGCAATGTGCAATGTAGTATGTAGTTTAAGTTTAAAGTTATACTTTACGTCACTACACATTTCATAGCGCAATATACCGCGAGAAAGTAACGTCTAAATTCAAATAGCAATCTGTATTCAGATTGCACATGACTAAACTCTGAACGTTTTCCAGGTCACCACATTCATCCATTCACAAAAAAGGCAGAAAATCCTAACAAATAAGCGTCAACCAAGTTTTAAAAAATATATAAAAATTCCCTATAAGGGATAAAGAGTTAATTTTAGGTCGTTCCTATTTCCGGACCGTTTAAATGTCATCCGTTTTTTATGGACGGCAGCCATTTTTGAATGTTGGCTGTCATTAAGGACGCTTGACAACGTGAATGGCTCGTTAACGGTGTATAGTGGGTACACCGAACATGAAGACTTGATAGTACGAGATCCCGCCTTGAACGACCTTCACCGAGATGCTTATTTGATGAAACATATTTTATATTCAATTTAATATGTCAATAATTATATTCCGTATGGGTTGCCTAATAAATTTCAGTCCAGAACATGACTAATTAATAATTTAAAAAATATTTTTTTTCAAATGTTTCACCGGTTTGACTATTAAACAAATTCCATTTCAATCGAAAGTATGAAGCCCATAGAATATGGAAACGTTAGGTTGCCTATTGTATTCCAGTCATAACTCTCGGGTTGCCAGGTCTAAACAGGTAAATTTATAGTAGGATTTTGCAACGGCCTGATAATTTAATCAAATTTAATTCAAAATAAAGATTATATAATTATGAACACGGTAAAATAGGGTTGCCTGCGAAAAATCAGTCCTGAATTAGGGTTGTCGAATTTTAAAAAGTGAAATATTGCCGCGAGTGAATAGGTAAGACTGAGAGGTCCCAAGCAACCGTTCCGTGCGTTGGAAGAGGACAGAGTATAACAGCTGCTTTTTAATGCTGCTGCTGCTGTTTTTGTGTCATTAACAGAAGCTGCTGATATTTTCACTGAATCTAAAATAAAAATAGTTCAAGAATTTATAGCTTGTATGTATAGGATTAAGAATTGCACTAATGTGAATAATGCAAGATATCGCATTATTATGAAAAATTACTCTGCTAAAGAAGACAGTGAGCAGTTTCTAAAAAAATCAAAGGCTTTGACTCTAACTCCATACCTCCGTGCTGCATATCATTACCACAAAAAGTTTTACAAACTATTTAAGTAAATTCGATGTGGCTGAATGCAACAGATCCAATATGTATCAAACTTAAATCTGAGAGCTGTGGTTGGTACTTAGATGAATATTTAAAACCACGAGGATTTATTGGGGATCATGCACCTTTAAGAATAGATGATATTGTTGAAAGAACCGAAACAGAGAGAGATGACGAAGAAGATGCAGGTGTCGAAGATCTAAGCTTTATTTCCGATGACTCAGGAGCTGAATAATAAAAAAATATATTTCTTTATAATTTTGTATAGGTAATAAACAGTGATTTTTTTTGTTTTTTTTAGAAACTGCTCACTGTCTTCTTTAGCAGAGTAATTTTTCATAATAATGCGATATCTTGCATTATTCACATTAGTGCAATTCTTAATCCTATACATACAAGCTATAAATTCTTGAACTATTTTTATTTTATATTCAATGAAAATATCAGCAGCTTCTGTTAATGACACAAAAATAGCAGCAGCAGCATTAAAAAGCAGCTGTTATGCTCTGTCCTCTTCTAACGCACGGAACGGTTGCTTGGGACCTCTCAGTCTTACCTATTCACTCGCGGCAATATTTCACTTTTTAAAATTCGACAACCCTAATTCAGGACTGATTTTTCGCAGGCAACCCTATTTTACCGTGTTCATAATTAAATAATCTTTATTTTGAATTAAATTTGATTAAATTATCAGGCCGTTGCAAAATCCTACTATAAATTTACCTGTTTAGACCTGGCAACCCGAGAGTTATGACTGGAATACAATAGGCAACCTAACGTTTCCATATTCTATGGGCTTCATACTTTCGATTGAAATGGAATTTGTTTAATAGTCAAACCGGTGAAACATTTGAAAAAAAATATTTTTTAAATTATTAATTAGCCATGTTCTGGACTGAAATTTATTAGGCAACCCATACGGAATATAATTATTGACATATTAAATTGAATATAAAATATGTTTCATCAAATAAGCATCTCGGTGAAGGTCGTTCAAGGCGGGATCTTAGACTATGAATGAAATTCTTTCCGTAATAAAAATGTGAGTACTGAGGAATTTTGTGTCTTAAGAGCGCTTTGGATACCACTTTACAACCTTGTGTAGGTCGAAAAATAACACAAAACGAAGGTACCTACTTGTAATTTAGACTTTCAGAAATCTCTTCAAAGAATACTTCATCTTCTATTCTTTTTACTTTTTTCAAGCCAAAAATTTCATAAGTGGAAGTGTATTTGACATTCATAACTCAGTCTTCTTTACCTAAACAAACAAGAATATCAGAAATAACTAAGCTAATTTCCACTTACCATCATTAGACCATCGTTTGTCGACTCCATCGGTGCTGTATCCACTATCAACGACATGTCTTGGCTTATGCCTCAAGCAGTCTATGGTAGCGTTGCCCGAAGTGATCTGATGCGTCGTACTTTGGTTTGGGGAGTTATTGATGTAAGAACTGTGTTTAGCTGACCGTCGTGTGTCGTCCATTCGCCTATGTGCTGGCAACGAGTCTTTATTCGCCATATTTTCTAGGTACTTGAATATATGCACACGCCCGCGCATGCATATCTAAAAACAGAAACAAAGCATTAATTTTGTAATTAACTGTCGTGAGACATAATTATGATATTAATTCTTATGTTTAACGGGTGCACGACGTTCGCCGCGTCGTATGTCGTGTAATGCTAATCATGAATATAAGCTCCGAGCGTGGCATAAACTAGTCAAGTCCTTTATAAAGCAACGTTTCGTTTTATTGTATAACAATACATTTTTATTTCAATGACAACCGAAAGTACATGATGACATCTGGATTTCTGTGAATTCCCGTCCCACAAGTACTTTATAAGGAATAAAGGGTTATAAACCTAATGATTGAGGAAAACGTTGATTGACGTATTACTTTGCCTATCAAAGAGGTTCTGCTAAAAATAAATTACTGAGTGATACTACCAATGTTTATTTGTTTAGTTAAGTCTTCTTTCACACTGTCAGTTAAAGAAAACATAGCGTATCAGCAAGTTAGCATGCCAGTCGTAAAACCCAGGGGAAAGTGTTGTCGAACTAGTTTCAAAGCAATGAACTAAAAATTTATGGCGTTGCGCTGCAGTGAGGTGTTTTATTGCCTTTTAAACTGCATAGGTATTGCAGTTTCAGTACTTTTTATTACAAAATATGTTGTAATATAATAGGGTCAGGTTCTAAAACGTTTTCAAAAAACACCAAGTTGTTAAGCGGTAATTTATGTATTTTTCAAAGTTTCTTTCATTTCCTATCTTTCATAAAGTTCACGCTAAGTTTAGTTTTGTTTTGATTATGTTTTTAAGGGTTATTTCCATTCCCGGAGAATTTCGTAAACTTAATATTGACCCAATGTTGAAATCAATAAATAAATATAACTTACTGTTGTAGGTGGGGAAACGAGGGGATTGTTGTCCAGATTAAGCGTAACTATTGTGTTCATATTTCGGAGTTCCAGTGGCAGTGAAGATATGCAGTTGCAGCTCACATCCAGGTGTTCCAGCCTGAGGTATGTGATCTCTGAAATGGTATACATAGTTAGTTGAAAATTAATAACACAAAAATAACAAAGTCAGATTACATTACAGCATTAAATTGAAGTTCGTCCTGAGTCGCGTGCTATTTAATGGTTTATCCAAGAATGGACAAAAACAGAGTGATAATGATACTAAAGTCAAAGTCAAAATCATTTATTTCAATTAGACCAGGAAGGCACTTTTGAACGTCAACAAGAAGCACGGTTACACATTCAATGGTTTGCTTCTTTGGAGAGACCTATCTGGTCTCTCCGAAGATCTTGGAGTAAATAAACGTAACCATGACCTTGAAGATGAAGGCAGATTTTGAAGTAAAACAGCGTTTCATGTCATGGGTGACGATCATTTCAAAGTACTTTGTTTGGGACTCCACACAACACGGATGAGGACATAAAATTACCTCATTCAAAAAGGGATTTCTGAGTGCAAAGGCATGTTTACGACGAGTATTGTTGTTGTAGTAGCGGAGTGTCTTTTAATTATTGTTAGTCAGTATATAAAACATTGAGGGAAAGATCTAGGTTCAGTAGGGAACATCTCGAATATGACATGAAATGATTATCAAATGCAGAGAGAGAAAATCACAGAATAGTGCTTGATTGCCGAGTCCTCTCACACATGTATAATTTGTACATGCAAGTAACAAGATTGCACTCCTTAACTAGCATTCAAACAGTACAAGATCAAAGGAGCTTCCCAAACATCATGGTTTACGCATCGAAATGAATTTGACCACTTAGTACCCACTTTAGTTTACAGTGATAAACAGACACACTGTAACAGTCTCTCCCACTGTATATTTAAATGTATAAGTCGTTACGTTTTCTGACGATAACAAATTTAATAATACTCTTCAAATAAAGACATTGACACAAAATGGTGCCAAGCTTAGGCACAATAATGAAATTGTAATAAATAAATTATTTCATACTGAAATTGAAACAATAACATTACATTACAATTGAAAAGACTACAAAGAATATCCAAAGAGGTATGTAATGTGTTATTTTCCTTCTATACCTTGCAGTTCGCGATACCAAGTACCAATACACACAACGCCATTTTAACTAGGCCACCGATGTTTTCACCATGCTCGCGTCTTATCGATATTACGGTACGTTGCGTCCAATGCATGTAAATTTATTGTAATACATAATATTATTGTTACAAATGAGCTGTTCGGTACAAATAATATGCAACTATAGTCTGACTGCCTCATTGGCCGAGTGGTCGCAAGTGCGACCGCCGGGCAAAGTATTACAGTTTTTTTTTAAATATAGTTCCCAGTAGTAGCGCAGAGTCTCACATTGTTCCCGATATATGGCAGTAGGCTCATCCCCTATTACATGGGACTCATAACATAAATAGTGAAAAGTGGGTGTTACATTGTACAGTGGCATTAATTGCCGCAATGTGCAACTCTGCCCCATCGGAGATAAAAGGCGTCATGTTTTGTTATGTGTAGTCTTACTTGCAAAGAAACTAGAATTTGTATCGTTTTGTGAACGGTAGTCTTACAGGCAATCTCTTAAACTATCATTGATATGCCTACCTAAATACGAGTATTACCTAGACTCGTATTTAGAATTTAGGCATATTCTGCATATAACTAAAACTATTATCTATTTCTAATGGCCTAATCTACCACCAGGTAGCTTATTAAGAATGGCCATGACTTTATCAAAAGATGAATCTTCACAACACTAAATCGAGAAACAGTTTCATTGTTCATTCATCTAAATAAATATTTAAATATAGCACACAATGAGTAATCGATAACTAATTATTAAATCAATCAATGAATAAATCGATCATTAAATCTCGATATAGTGGCAACGAACGCGCATATACGACATGCACGTAAAGCGCATCAGCATTGTCTTAATGATAAATTGACACGACTCATAAAATAAAATGATTTTTAGATTTGCATATAGGATTTCATGAATACTTTGTCGCATTTTAAATGTAACTTAATCTCAAATGAATACTGTCTGAATAGAACTCAAAGATCGTCTCTTTTGAAGTTTAAATATTAAGATGACATTTGAGAAGCATAAGGTAACACATGCACACGACATTATTATTGGCATGGCAAAAGGCTCGACAGTTATTTGGTGGTGATTTATACCTGACAACGATTGTGTTGCAATTAGATGCTCATCCCCTCAAAATTATGTAATGTATTTGAACTCACGTAACGGCAGTAGTCCCAACTGATTATTGCTAAGGTCGAGTGCCCGCAGACCAGCGCAATCCCCAAGGGTCATGGGGACTTGCGTGAGCCTGTTGTTCGAGGCATCCAGCTCCGCCAACGAGGTCATCTTGCCAATCTCCTTCGGTAACGTACTTAGCATATTGTCGGGTACTAAGAGCACTTGAAGTGGCATCTGGCATACTTCTCGTGGTAATTCTGTGAGCTGATTTGAACTGTGGACAAGAGAACAAATTGTTAATAAATTGATTTGATAATTACATACATAACTTCACGCCTTTTATCCCCGAAGGGGTAAGCAGAGGTGCACATACGGCACTTAATGCCACTTTACAATGCTACAATGTAACACTCACTTTCACTATTTTATGTTATGAGTCCCATGTAATAGGGGGTGAGCCTATTGCCATATACTGGGCACATTTCCAAACTCTATGCTACCACGAAGATTTTTTTAAAACCCTGTATTACTTGCCCGACTCGGGATTTGAACCCGAAACCCCTTGCCCGGCAGTCACACTTGTTACAACTCGGCCAATGAGGCAGATTTGATGATTATCATTTTTAATCAGAGGTTTAATGCGCTTGGTTGACTGTCAAGTACGAGGGCATTATGTCGAAACCTGGCAGATGCTAATGTTATTATTTCTCAGGTAGTTTTAAGTAATAAAAGTAGGTAATCACCAAAACATTCTGATCTTTCGAATACCTTCACATTAAACCATTTAGTTTTAATTACAATGTTTAATGTCTTTCGATACCTCCATACTACTGGTAGCACCATCATCTTAAGAATCTCATCTATAAAGTCAATGAACGCGAGTATAAACAAATGCACCCAATCGATACATCACTAAATGGTTATTTTTACCCCATCAGAACCGACTTCAGAATGGGATTGTATGTAATTAGAGCGGTCGAAACATAAATCGGTCGTCGCCTAACCTAATAGTTTCGGAGTTCGTGCCAAGAGAACTAGTAAACATTAGTGTAAAGTTCTTAAAAACACTTCCTGCTTCAAAAGTTGATGGAATAAAAAGGTTTTATACAAATCATCTTTATTTTATAACTACGTGTGCGGTTACTGTGATAATTTTAAGATAAGATTATGTTGGTACGTGATGAACATATTTTAGGACCACCTACGGAGTTATTTGAGTTATTTCAACATGGGAATAAAGCCATAAATAACATTGATTCAAGAGATATTCGCGGACAGAAGTCAAAACAATGTTTAAGTTATATGTTATCCTAATGGATTATCATTATTTATGATTAATAAACACGGGTTTCTAGATAGATCGTCGTAGTTATTTTACGACACATTTCAAGAACCATTTCTGTCGTTATTTATTTATTATTATAGGTATACCTACAGCTTCTGTATACATAGTATTAAGAAATAACATAGTCCCCAATTATAGGTTAACGAAATTTACAATTAAGTGATAAAAACTATACAAACGAACAAGGAAATTATTTTTTAGTAAACTGAAAAAAAAAAATTATATGTAATACTTTAATTAAAGTAACGAAGCAAGCCAATACAAATATAGTAAATTGATAAGCATCTAAATAAATAAACTGGAAACCGAACCACCCTTCAACATAATCACTTCAATTCATAAAAGTCAAAATCTAATAACTATCTATAAGACTGCACGGTTGGTGCGGTGGCTGGGCAACCGGCTGCCGTGCAACGTGTCGCGGGTTCGATTCCCGCACGGAAAAACACTTTGTGTGATCCACGAATTGTTGTTTCGGGTCTGGGTGTCATGTGTATGTACCCACGACACAGGAGATAATCCTAATGTGGGGCAACGTTTTTTTAAAAAAAAAAAAAAAAACATGAAACTAATACAATTTTATGACCAAACTAATAAAGTTCCGAGTCTCGAAGAGCCAGCCAAAACAGATGCGCTAGAAAGAGATAGAACCAAAACAAACCCTGTTACAACCAAAACACAGACAGCCAACCATACCGAAGTACTTAACAGTGCACCTAGACTACCTTCAGATATTTTTTCACCGTCTAGACGTTTAGACATGGTTGAAACAGGATTCAATTCTGCAAGACTAGGAATCGATAAATAGATGCGAGGTCAACGGACGACACAAGGGACATAATTAGCTATAGATAGTAGGAAAGTTCTATTAACAGTTCGTCACAATGGGAATGGCCTATATGCGTATGCTGGTAAAGCGATTATAGTACGGGATGACGTAAACAATCCAATAAATATACAGGCATACACAGACACGTGGAATGGGATCAACGAACCGAGGATAGAATGGAGTATTACTTTTACTGGCAGTAGGTAGCATAAAGATACAACTGTTTCTTTGAAAGACTCCTGTTATGACTTTCATGTAATATCGTTTGTTTCTTTATTCTTGCTTGTCTGGATTATACTTGGAAAATACATACGTGGATAATAACTTTATCATAAAAGGAATTTTTACTTTTAGGGTGTATTCGTGTGATCGTCGTCGATACTCATAAATGCTAAGTAATTCAAAATTAGTTTTATCTATGTGTTATTTTATGACAGTAATTCATAAGGAAATTGTTATAAAATTAGAGTAGTTATTAAAAAAGACAAAACAGAGAAGTAGGTTGTTAAGCCGTAAGTACAGGCTCTAAGCCTGTTTTCCACACAGCAGTGGGTGAAACAGGCACAGAAAACGACTTACGACCCCAATAAAAATCTATACTTGAACCTGAATTCAGGATACAGACAAGATTTACTGCCTATCTAAGTATCTAGTCACTTTTATGTCCCGGTACTGCACACTAAGCATAGCAGCAGCCAAGTGCCACATTTCTCAATATCGTCCCGTCAGCAAGATAACACCGTTATCGCACCACCATAGAAGGCAACGCGACAGTTTCACCAGAAGCAAGAATATGAACTGTCATACGAATGCAATGTAAACAAGCTTTCTCGATGACTTCGTAATTTAGTATGAGTACTGATTAGTACTTACTTTAGTGGTCTTACTTTAGCACTTCGATTTCTTGTTAAATTTGTGTCAATTTTAACGGTTATTAATGGTAAATAATGTTTGTTCCCTGACTCCAACATTGTTCTCAAAGTACATTAGAAAGTAATTAGATTTAAAATCACAAGCCCCTGAATATTCAAGTGTACCGAGAGTACATGTGCGTTTAAAGATTGCAAAATAAATGCCTTTTTGTGAAGTACAAAAACGTAATTGACGGTTACTTAACGAAGCGTGACTAATTAATTCTTGAATAAAAAAAATCATAAATTTACACATTAATGGTCATTTTTAGAACGTTCACGTTAGCCTAAAATAATAAAGTAACTGTAGCATTATCGAATTAAAATGATTTTTCAAGAATGCAATGTTTCATACATAGGTGGACCGACGACATCGCCAGAGTTGCGGGGAGCCAGTGGATGCGGGTGGCGAGTTGTCGTTCGACATGGAGGACTAAGGGGGAGGCCTTTGTCCAGCAGTGGACGTTTTCCAGCTGTTGATGATGAATGTTTCATACAGGATTTTATAATTTTTCCGGTTTATAAATAAGTCACACCTAGACTTCACACACCGTCACAATAAATAACTGAAATACTTTAATAAATAATTACTGAAGCGTAAAACGATAAACATACGTCAGAAATACAAAGACTTTCCTTGGAAACGCCTCATAATTAATTTGCCAAACATTGTACGATGAAAAGCTATTCAAAGTTGGTTAATTGTGTTGTATCCTCGCCTAAAACACACCTCTGTCATACTGTGAGGCGCCATGATAACATTTGCTGAAGCCGTTTATTGCGAGGGACGAGCCCTATACGAGGGAATGGGGTGCCTCTTGTTGCCGACTTAATTATTTAGGCATTCAGGGGGATCTTAGTTGGAGTCGGAGACGACATATGTGTGAATCTAGGTCACTTTGATACCTTGTGAGTGATGGAAAAAGTATAGTATATTTTGGAATTCAATATAATAACTACATATGGACATTGGGCAGTAGATTTCCTTAGAAGCGATTAACTCGTCGAGTACCGGTTTTGTAGACACAATTATAGAACAATAGGTTGCGGTCACCGGTGACCGCTTGGTGTTTGACAGTTTAAGTAGATGGTAGTTTGTACTACAACTGACCCTCACTACACAAACATTGCAATAGAACGATAGGGAATAGACAGGTGTAATTTTCAAATGATCCATTATGCTTCCGAGTTCTACCTCCCACACTCAATATGAAAGCGGCATAGCGGCCCCACATGGCTTCCCCTAACAATTTAGTGCAAATAATTCGCACGTTCCGCTTCAGCGGTTCAAGGCCGATATCATATCGATTTGTATAGTGTGGGGTGACAGAAATAACTCTTCGACAAAAACTATTCTACGAAGCCATTTCAACTACAAACTGACCTGACTGTATAGGTGTTATATGAAAATTACCTTCTTATCGCAGTATCTTGCAATTAGTTAACTAGCAGCTATACAAAAATGTATCTAGTTAAATAATATCCTGGTCAAAAAATCGGAAACGGTAAAAACAAGCTGGTTATATCGTATCTGCCCAATTGAGTTGCACAATAGTGGTCAGTGGCCGTTTCCAGTTTTCGCTATTGTACTGCACATTTGGCGCGGACGTCCCATTTTCGAAAGCCTACGTGTGTACTGTCATGCGCATGCGCTTGTTGATCGAGCGTTATGGTGTATGCGCGTGCGACGAACCGCGATCACAATGCGTGAGTTACGCTTTGCTGGTGGTTTTATGACTGTGTTTTGGCAGTTACGTCAATGTAGATCATTTTGATTCTGTCAAATCAACAGTTTGGAACACAATAGCTATGATATAAGCGTAATGATAGACAATTTAGGTAATAACCTCCTTGTTGTCAAAATTAGGAATTGTATCAGTGGTATTTACAACTCTAGTACGCTAATAATACAAGTGATTCTTATCACTTCCTTCATCCGTAAACATGGATACAACGCCATAAATAAGAGAGAAAACTGTTGCATGGTGTAACAATGGAGTCGGGTGCTAGTGTTGTGACAGTGGTGCATTTCATAGAATAGAAACAACAATAGTTGAACGTTGGACTTATTTGTTGGGTGTCCTCGTTGTTCCGAGTACGAATTGTTTATAAAAGCGGCTAATGTCGATCGAGTTACGTACGACATACAGTTATTGGTCGATTGTATCAATTTCAAGTTCAAAGACAGC